TGAAACTTGAATCAATAAATTTATTTTTTTGGAATGAAATACATTAGTGCATCGATTTCTTTTCTACTTCCGAGTATTGAAAAACATCATTGTTCACCTAGTATATAAAGGTTTCGAATTTTCAACTGTTTTTCACTTTTCTATTCTCAATCGTACTTCAATACTCAATACAACTGATTAAACGAACAATGGCTGCTGCTGTTGCAACTCAAAAAATGTTCGATACTGGTTTATTCAAAAGTTATTCAACTACGACTTTCAATCAATTGGGTCGTGTGAATCGTATTATTGAATGTCATGGCGAAGGTGAACAAGCAAAATGAATTGAAAGCATCATTGATAATTTGGCACACGTATTTATCAAACATAAAATGCATAATTTATTGGGTGTTTCTCTGGTACACAATCATTTTCAATTGAATGATGGTGAATATGTTGAGACAGCTGTTAAATCTATCGATATCGACGTTGAACAATTGATGGGCAATTATTCAACTAATGGCCATTCATTTGTATTTCATACCAAGGCTTCAACATCATCATCATCATCAATGAACAGTGCTGTACCATACATGTGGGCATATGACAAGACTACAAATGCCTATTTTCCAACTCAATCTTTTGATGGAAACAACAATAAAATTGTTGAACGTTTGACAAAATTGTGCGATCGAATCAATTTGATCGAATTTCTCAATGAATACAAAGTTGAACTAATGAAATATGGTTTAGAAAATGATCTCGGTTTGGGTGGGGTGTGGGTGTGTGTGGGTGTGGGTGTGTGGATGTGGGGTGTGGGTGTGGGTGTGGGGTATGGGTGTGGGGGTGGGGGTGTGGGTGTGGATGGGTGTGTGTGTAGGTGGGTGTGGCTGTGGCTGTGGGTGTGGGTGTGAGTGTGGGGTGTGGGTGTAGCTAGAAGCTCAATAACATTCACATCTATACACCACCCACAGCCACACCCACACCCACACACACCAACACCCGCACACCTACCCACACCCACACCCTAGATCTCAAACACACACATAAAAGTATGGATTCATTATTTTCACACTATTTTTTTTGTTAATTAAGTCTTTTAAGTTACGGATTCCACTCAATTATTTATAAATTTTCTCTTTGGGATTAAATAAACACTTTCAAAACCAAAAAAATAAATGCAGTCTTTAGTTATTCAATATAAAATAAGGCTTGTATGCATCCAATTAACTTAATTTGTGCTGCGTGACATTGTAATAACAAGATCTATACTCATGGCGAATGTGCACAGCAAACCAATCATATACGCTATGGTTCTGAATGGTTGCAACCCCAATGAAATCATGAAAGAATGTATAATACGAGCAGCTAAGTAAACTGAACCATAGACAATCATTCTAACTATATCGGCATTCACTGAATAAGAAAATATAGCCGTTGCCAAGTAGAGTGCAAGAAAATAAGTGTCGTTTTCTGCATCATTAGTGATGGCTCCGTTGATGCGGTCTCCAACATTAGAATCATCTGACGCAGCTGGTCCTTCTGATTTATTGCCATTTGCGTTGCGTGTCTCTACGGGACGTTGTGCATTTGACTTAGACTTAGACTGCTCTAATTGTCGTGCCACGATCAATACAACCACTATAGCTATGCGACGAACCATCAATACAAGCATAAGCCATGCAAATACGGTACCCGGTTTAATGGAATAAATGTCAGGCATGGTGTTGAGCAGATATTAACAGTTAAGAAATTATTTTATTGATCAAGATGAGAAGTTTTTTATTCTGTACTGCATTAGTTATAGGCTTGCTTTTATATACATTATTTGTGCTTCGTCATATAACCACAATTTTAATATGTTTTTTATGTTTCTATGCAGCAACAGAAAACTTTGCCTCGTCAGCATCGTCGTTCTTTAATGTTGAGTTATTTTCTTTGATTACATAGAAACCTGCTGCTCAACGTGGTCCACTGTCTGATGCGTTCCACGTAAAAAAATTTGCATCGTCATTAATGAGGTTGCATTTGTGAAGACAAGTTCTTTGTTCTTTTAGGTGTACTCGAGAAATAATCATTTAAAATTTTGAAGTAGTAATATAATTTGTACCCAACACGAAGGTTTAAAATAATCCATAGCTAATGCGAAGTAATTGTGAATGTGTAAGAATATGTCTGAGTTTGTTATCGTAATCGATCTTTGGTTCATATTAGTAATGCACTCACGTAATGAAAATAATGAATTCTCTGAAAATATAGCAACTACTAAATCGTTGAAGAATGTTCGAGTCTTCAAAATGAATAATTAATAAATTGAAATTATTGGTTTGATAAAAGAAGAACTGAAAACAAATTCGATTTACCTATTTTATTTTCAATATCATCGTTATTCAGTTTCGTTATAAATGATACATAAAGATATTAAAAAATTCGAAACTCATGCCTCCGGAATATATGCCAATAATGATCAATTGTTTTAGCACGTGATTGAATATGATTCTTCTAATTCACGTACACTTGCATTCTTTTTTTTTGTTCATATATCATAAAGAGGTTAACAGATTTCTATTTATAAATTGTCTACGTAGGACACGCTAAACAGCAAAATAGTATATAATTATATAGGGTAAATAAAACTGTTTTCACAGATGATGACTCATCGGAAGAATATTGCCATAAGTAGCGTAGTTCTTCTGAATAGAATTGTTATAAATAGTATGAGTTATTTTAATAATTATTCTTCTGTTTATAGAAAATATTTCTTCTCTACACATGTATGTTTTTGTGTAATTACATATAAGAACAAATTATTCCGTCGACTATAGGGAAGGTCATATGAAAAAAAAAAGTTCGTGTGTGTGTTTGCATCGAGGTTAAAAAAACATTCACTTAAGGGGGAACCCCCACTCCGAAACCTATCTTTTAAATGGTACAACAGATTTGGATGAAAATTTCAGGAAATAGAAAAGCTTATGTTACTGGTATTGGATAAAAAATTGAACCAATAATTTTTGATAATTAATGAGTTATAATCAATTTACTCATGAAAACGGGACTTTCGGCACGGAACATTTTCCCGATGCGCGGTGGCATGGAAAATGTTGAACTTTGTTTCGGAATGAATAAAAATCTTTTATCTAGAAATTGTAGGAACAGTTGTTTGAAATTCGTCTTCGTTCAATTGTAGTAATCATTTTAAAACGAAAATCGCAAAAACTACTTTGAGCTCTTTCAAAGATTTTTAAATATCTGAATAACGGAACTATATTTTAGAAATCCGTTCCTACAATTTCTAGAAAAAAGTCTTATCTTTCGAATAAAAAAAAGTATCAGCAGTGTATCTCAAACGGTAAACGGGGAACATGTTCCGCAGTGGGAAGTAAACAATAAAAAAGTGAAGCCGAAAAAAACGAATAACAACATTGCGACGTAGTTGGTGATGTTCCTGTGTAGAAAACTAAGGTATATTTTATATCATTGAAAAGTACGTAAAAAGCTCTTGAAGTTGATAGTATTTTCGAGAAAAAATTAAGCTGATTTCTGAATCCAAGTTTACTGTAGCGCCATCTTTTCGAAAAATAACCTTATTTTTAAGCTTCCTTATTAGACTGCAACAGTCAGGACATGATTACTCGATACGGCGATGGTTTTACAGTGCTAATAAAGACGATAGAACGATATTAATTACCGGTAAATAAGGGAAGCAAATCAACAAATCAGCCGATTTTTCAGTATGGCTTCCAGTAAACGGACCAAAATTGGGCAAAATATGTTCCACTCTTATGTTATTTATACATATTCTGAGAGAAGACACTCAGGGCTACAAGAATATGCGCTTTTTCAAAAATCGAGTTTTTCAAGAAAAATCGACTTTCGGAGTGGGGATTCCCCCTTAAGAAAATTTTCTATAAAGGTTGACGAAACTAAATCGAGGTCGTAGAATCCAAATCTGAAGTATCTGTGTGAAGCTACCACAACACGACCAGTCAGCACGACCAGTAAAATACTATGACACGTCAAAATAAAAACCAATCAGAATGTGATAAATAAAACAACACCATTATGAAGGAGAAACCCATGGACATGGTACTCCATAGTATCCGTACCGTATATATCACTGCTATACATACGGATATCATATTATCGGAAACACGAGAAGAAATATGCTATTTTTTCTACGAAGTCATTTTTATGCATAATTTCTAGAGTTCTTCCTATCCTCATTAAAAGCACGCATCTTTCAATTTTCTACTAAAAATATTGAATATTTTGTTTGAAAAAAAAAATAAAATAAATAACTGCACGGAAATAATAGATTTGTTTTAAAGATAGGACTTTCTTTCTTAATGTTTTATTTATATTATCTCAAATAAAAAAGATATTATTATTTATGATTAAAAAGGATTGATTATATCAGTTTTAAAAAACAAATGATTATTATCAAGTTGAACTTTATTTTATTTATGTTATTATAGCAACTTGGCTATAAACTATATATTAATATTTACTGTTAATCTGTTAGAACGTAGAGATTTAAAATAAAAATAAAAATAAAAAATAAAACTAAATGATAGTTTCAATTTTAAGTTTAAAAAACTGCACGGAGATATAAACACGCCAAAGTTGGGCACTTTCTAAACCATTTTTCGCATATCCGAAATATATTGTAAACAAGTTATATGCTACTGCTGACATTGTCGTCTCTTCTATTCTCTCATAGAATTTGTCAAAGTGTAGCATTACAAAAGAAATGATAACATGTTCTGAGCTAAATTAAATAGCATGTAATATTTTACATTGTACTCAGCTCATTACATGTTACGGAGTTATTGTATGTGAGAAGGTTACTGGATATCTTCTAACTAAATAGAGCAAATGTCGTGTTTCTCTACAAATAAAAAAAGATTCAGTTCAAAGTACGCTGTTTCGGGAGTGCTATAACGATTTTCTATAAAGATGTGAAGTCTCAGCTGAAAAGTAATTATTTTAGTGAAAATGTCAATAAAATTACTTTCAGTTAATGTTGAGATTATTTGTTGTTAATAATATGTGGAAAAATATAATGAGATAAATGAAATGAGATTTATGTTGTCGAAATCTATTATCTGATTCATAAACTTCAGAAAAGATTTATTATGTTTATGTTGTCATAGATTAGGCCGTCAATGTTAATTCAATAGCTTTCATAGTTTCTGACTGGTGAACGTTAAAGGTAATGAGCACCAGGTCACGGTGTTGTCATTAATGATGACTATCTCTTTTTGAACTTCGAAAAATTGAAGTAAAGAATTATGCTCCCAAATTTCCATGACAATCAGAGGTTGTATCATTCTTGTCATTGAACCATGTGGAAAGTACAGATATAAGAGCAAGCAAACCTTTATACGTAATCCAACTACATAAATCTAGAATATCCTTTTATGTCTTGTAAATTTTTGTTCTATGTTAATTAGCGAATTGTTAAACAAGCTTTTATCAAGTAATTAATGAGATAGTACGCATATATATATATATGTCGTAGGTCAATATTATATTGGCCTAGTCGAATCTAAGATTGGCCTGATCAAAGCTAGACGAATCCCGGATTGGACTAGGCCAATCCGAGATTGACCTGAATGTTAGATTAGCCTACAACATATATATGCCCATATATGTATGTATATATATATATCGCATTTTTCTATTTACATGATCATATATGTATATATATATCTTCAATATGGGATCGATAATAGAGTTTGTTTTGCTGCTACTCTTTCTCAAACATTCTTTAGCAGGACCTGTAATTATAACAATTATTTAGTATATATTCACTGCTTTCTTTCTTTTACTTCAAGGTGCAGAAGTACAAATCTTTTGCTGAGTATTTACTTGAACAACAAATCAATGCAACAGTTATAAATGCAGTATCGACTACAACATCAACAACAATCATGTTACCAACAACAATGTCAGCATCTATTGGGAAGCATATTATGAACCATGGGTCTGTCGATTATTATGAAATTTTAAGAGTAGTTTTGGGCTGTTTTTGCACAGCGTTTTCAGGAACTACCTGATATTGTTTGTTTAACCCTTTACGGCCGGATGGTACCAAAAGGTAACATTGGAAGACTGTTTCATCAAGAGCTCTTCCAAACTAGTGTTGAATGTCAATCTTATACCAT